AGACACTGTTTTGTTATAGTGGTCACAAGCAAAGCAAAAAACCCAACACTGGCTGGATGTTTTAGATGTCAAAAACATGCTCAATTACCAGAGGCCAAATTACATCTTCAAATTGCTTTGACTGAAAAGAAAAACAAAAAAGTGTTTTAATGATAGAGCCTGTAACCAGCAAATGTTTTCTATTGATTGATTATAATAATTCTCATTGATTAATTTTGTTCCTACTGAGAAGTCCATTAATCCACTAATGATTCAAGCACTAAAAGGGAATACTGATCTGTTCAGAAAAGCATCCTGTTTTCAACCTTATCACTACAAAATGTATTTGAATGCCTCTGTCCTAATGTCATTAAGCCCATTCCTCACACCAGTATTAAGCCACTAGCGGTAAACCCAATTAGAGCCTGGTCTCCACCAAAGACGAGCAGGCTTAGCTCCCATAAGAGAAGGCGATTTGAGCCGAGCCAACAGGCAGGGAATATCTGGAGGGATGTGGGAATGTTCGCTGGGAATGCTGGAACGTGGTGCATTCGCAGGATGAGCGGACGTTACCGGCTTTGGAGCGCCTGGCCGCCAGCGCTTAAACCTGGCTAATCTGATTGGATTAACACCAACCTGCCTGGCTTCACATGAGCGCCCGCACACACTCATACGCACACGGACACACACACACACACACACTTGTACTACATGCCAATCAGCTGGAGCTGCAGCTTCCTGGAGTTCATCTGGATTCTGGGTTGTGCTGGCTGGCTGGCTGGCTGGCTGATGGCACCATGCTGGGCTACCACATGCACACGCATCCGCTCTCACACCACACACACACACACATTTACACACACAGAGCCATTAGAGTGCAGTGATTTGTGCTGTGAATCTGAAACAGACCTATTGAAAGAAAAGTAAAGCCTGTGCTTGACAACCGTGCTAATTGACTAGCCCCCTCCCCAGCAATGAAACTAAACGTTTTCACCCCTCCATCTTTTATCTTTTCAATCACTCCCTGACAGCTCTCCTCTTGTCCCACACTCATCCAATCCTCTTCCTCATATTACTCTTCATCTCCCCCCCCCCCC